GTTCCACTGGTCAACAAGGGTACAAAGGAGAAACAGGTGACAAAGGACTGCAAGGGGACAGAGGTGAGAAAGGCGATAAAGGAAATGTAGGAGACTTGGGAAGAAAAGGAGTGGTCGGAGAAAGAGGTCCAAAAGGAGATAAAGGACAAGAGGGTAAACAAGGARATCAAGGACAAAGAGGAAACACAGGAGAGAGAGGAGAAAAAGGTAAGCGGAACAAATGTCATTCATTGGAATAGCAAGTATAGTGAGATGAACCATTTAACGTTTTCCAGGAAACAATGGACTAAAAGGAAACGTTGGAACCAAAGGAAGTAAAGGAGAAACCGGAGTCAGCATCAAAGGAGAGAAGGGAACCCCTGGAGCAAATGGAGTAGCAGGAGCCACAGGAGAAAAAGGAATAAAAGGAGAAACAGGGCCAAAAGGACAAGAAGGGCCAGCAGGACCAAGAGGCGTCGATGGAACACACGGGTCAAAGGGTGAGCATCCAATACTTCAACACACAACTATCTGTAAAAAAGTTTAGATCAGCATTGTGCAAATAACAGAACTTTTTTATTTTTTCAAGTTTCAAATTACAGCTGTGTTCCTTGATTACAGACTCATTTACTCAGGGTTAACCTCGTACCAATAGTATGAATATTCACAAATAACAATGGTAAAGTAAAGAATGCACATCAATTCAACAATTCAAACACTTTGAAAAACCTGAATAKATTACACCAAAAGGAGGCTAACCCTGAGCAACAGACAGCTCGAAACTCGAGTATTCAGCAGTTGAGTCTAAATAAACGATATTTTAAATCTTTAAACATTATAGGAGAAAAGGGTAACCAAGGAGACACTGGATCCCAGGGTCTACAAGGGCCGCAAGGAATAAAGGGCGAGCAAGGCGAAACCGGGAAAATAGGTATTAAAGGGTCCCAAGGAGTGGTGGGACCAAAAGGTTCTTCTGGTCAGAAAGGTGAACAAGGCGACATTGGTCCCATTGGTCCTGAAGGAAAGGGAGATAAAGGAGAAGTAGGAATGAAAGGAGACAAAGGACCAATCGGAGGTCAAGGTCCTCAAGGACCCATAGGCCAAACAGGTAAAACCGGAAAAACTGGTCCACTAGGGCCCAAAGGCTCAATGGGAGAAAAAGGAGAAATTGGTGCAAGAGGTCCTGTCGGTAAACGAGGTAAAACAGGACCTAGAGGTGTTAAAGGTGACCGAGGAGCTCAAGGGGATAAGGGAATTCAAGGTGTGCAAGGAGTCAAAGGAGGCATTGGAGAAAAAGGCAATATGGGAATCMAAGGAATGAAAGGTATTTTGTTTCTTTCTGGAATATAGGGTACACATCATTCAGTGTTCCCAGATCCCAAGCGTCTTCGCCAGGAAGCTAACTCAGGAACCAGAAAAAAACTGGTTCCGTAAAGGTGACTTYACCCGAAGCTTTCGTTTCTTTGCGAAGACCAAAAGAAATGTGGGAACTAGGAAAGAGGATGGRACAACATAAGTGTTTTCTAAGCTTAATATCAAAATATACCACTCAGTTCACTTAATATTCATTGACTTCGTAGGGGAGCATGGAGATATGGGTCCAAGAGGAACTAAAGGAAGCCGTGGAATACGAGGCAATATAGGGCCACCGGGTGAACATGGCGAGCCCGGAGTGCGTGGCCTCAAGGGCATGAAAGGTACGAGGCATTCAAATATATTAAATGCTCACATCACATCCACAAACTAGGATTTGATGCAAGATCGGGTCTGGATGCTTCTCTCKTCGCCTTTATTGCCCGGGTTTTCAAGTTTACTTCTTAGACTTGGCTTCAAACGTGAGTAGGGCGTCTCGATCATACTCACAGTTTTCCCCAGTTTTTGTCCGTCCACAAAACGTACCCACGACGCTAAACTCCAATTAACTCCCAACGTCACCAGTAACATGACGTGGAGAATCTTAAAAATTGTTTTACATGGGCTTGGTTGATTAAACTGGAGTTAAGTTTTCTTGACGTACAAGGCCGTAACTAGGGGGAGCACAGGGTGCACGTGCACCCCCCATAAAAGCTTAAGGTCCGCTCATCCATCTCCTTTATTTTTGGTTCTGCCTCCTTTTGGTTACCTTTTTTTTTCTTTTTGGTTCTGCAAATTATTGCCTGTTCACCTCCCTGCAAGATCCCTAGTTACGCCACTGAGTTTGTAATAAAAAAAAACGATCAATGGTCCGATTTTATTCCATGTGCACCCTCCCTGTAAAGGTTCTGGTTACGGCCYTGACGTATAGTGTTTTTACTATACAGGATCCAGAGGTCCGATAGGTGAKTCAGGGAAAGGCGGTCCTCCAGGACCAAAAGGAGACAAAGGAGACACCGGGAAGACCCTTATTGTTGAACGTTTCGAAACAACCTCTCCACCAAACGATGAGCAAGTGATACAACCAACTCCAGATATCTGCATAGATGTTGAGATCATCTTCAGTGAAGCGCCTGCAGACAACTGCACATTAAATAGCACAATTATAGTTCAAAAGTCATTAGCAGAGCAACTTCATGCTAAAGAAGGACACATCAAACAACTAAAGATGAATATTATACCTGACAAAGGCAAACGAAAGCTGGTTGTGACATTCCGCACGACAAGAGAAGTACAAAAGGAAATACAAAACAAAGAAAAGTCAAGCGAAAAGATCAAGCTACCACTGGGAATCTGCGACTAAATGGATTGGAAATGAACGRCTATAATGAAATCCAGCTATTGACAGTACAATGGTAATAACGAAGTACGTTACAAAGGGCCCCTCTATATCTATGGATAAGACTAGTCCCTTCGTTGTCGGTCAAAAAATGTACGGCTTATCTTAACCAATCATAATCTCCCGTAGTCTCGGTTAACCAGACTCCTATCGGCCAAACATTCACYGAGAGAGATCTGGAAGAATCGTTTATTTTATTGGACAAACTTATGAATAATTCATAAGGAAACGAAACAGAAATCATGACCGTGAAGAGTTTTATCGATATAGATTTTTTGGGCATATTTACTTTATAATCTTGAAAGTTTTAGTGAAACACAAAGRAACTAGCCTAGACGTTTGTTAAGTAATATAAACAATATGAATGGCCGTGTTCTATACGGCTACTCCTCAAGTTTAAATATTGTATGCATTATGAAGAAGAACTTTATTTGTACCCATTAAATACATTATTTTCTAATTTGATACATTCTTACCATATGTTAGACAGATTAAGGGGTACCAACTTCCAAAAATAACTAGAAAGCTAAAAATGCTTGGAAGTCGGTCACTCGTACTGTATATCATTACAAAGAGCTCTGTAATATGACATGGTAACTCTTGCCAAAACCTGGTTAGACGCCATTTTCAATTTAACAGAACATGATATTGTATTTAGTCCCACACCCCCTCTTTCGACAGTTAGCGAAAGAGGTTTGGTAACATGTAATAATAATAATTTAATACTTATATATATATACTTTAATACTTATAACCAAAAATAAGGGAATATAATCTAATCTTAGTATGTGAATCAGTATGTGATTTTTTGTATCTTGGAAATGTAAGGGCATTTTTGATAATATTTCATGAAAGCCCAACTTTCTAGAATTGAGGCAAAGCAATCGAAAGAAAATTTCCATATATAGCTTGAAAATATGCTCTCAAAAACAACTTCAAATTCTACAGAAAGTCTCCGTAATTGTTGTTTGTTGCTTAATAGTAAGAGAAAGCTTTGGTTTAAATTTAGAGAAATCGTGTTTTTGGTGCGCTTTTAATCGTTTGAATATTTGCCTCGTTATCCTTATGTATATATAATATGAGAACATGTGCAACAGCGCCTTCAATATTTTCGAATAAAATTACTTCAATTTGATGTTTTAGTAAAAATTATTGTCTATCCTATGAAAGTAAAAATGTATATTCTTTAAAAAAATTGAAAAGTGACCCGTGGCTATTGCAATTGTAAATTTGAGCTTTGCTTCTTACGACCGAAGAATGGAATTTTTTTTACCATCATTCATAAGGGAAAAGGGTAAAATACCTGTGAAAAAAAAGCTTAATGTCAAGAAATATATCACAGTCTCTTGAAATGTACTATGCACAAGCTTGACCACATCGTCTCACTTTGATGTACGCTTATTTAGAATACCGCTGAGACGCGGACGCAATTGTAATAGCAGCTAGTTCCCGTGTYCAAAGAGCCTGGTTACGCAGGCTCTGTTTGAGTATATAAGAGGTTAGAAACAATGCGTTGCTGGCGAGATTAGATCAATTGCTTGTCGGAAGGAAAAACATTACGCCATGTCGCAACAAAGCCCTTCAGGAACTAAGCATACCACTTCCTCTCCCTCAAAACAAGGAAGTTCGTCAAAGTCAGGCATCGTTGTTTCTGGTTTAACATTGTTGGGTTGTTTGGCTCTGCTARTCAGACTCGAAACCGTTCAACGTAGTAATGGTTTGTATTTTGAGAACTTGGAAAATGAACTCAACAGAATTCGATTGCAGAAACTCAATAGAGGTAACTATACCCGACTATTTAATATTTTCATATCTTGACTATTTTAGTCACTTTTAAAAGATATTTCATGCTGACGTACGCGTCAAATATTCCTGCATGTTATTATGAACCTAAATCGTGAACCTTTGTTTTTCCAACTTCAGCTGCGCCGACATTTCTTCAGTTTTCCCCCTACTTGTCAGTCATGTGAGGCAACAAACAGTTTGTATGAGTGGCGAAAAGGGTCAGGATACATTAATCAAAGTTATTGTAAAATACCGTTTGGCCAAGTGCGCTAGAACTGATGGATTGGGTTAGAAATATGTKTGTTTGTTTCAGTTATTCGTAGATTTCGTAATTCGAATTGATTTGGCTATCTGATTTGCTTGCGTCAAGGTCGATTCAWATCTTTCCAACCAAGTATTGACATATGTGCGTTAAAGTAATCTGTTCGTCACGACGTAATATCGAGTTACAAATATTTGGGCTATTTTGGGGGTTAAGGCACAATAACCTTCTTCTATTCTGGAGACAATTCATATTTTTCGTTTAAAACTATTGAACTTGATTTCGAATGTCTATCAATTAACGACATGCCAGATAAGGAAGACTCTAACGAACATGTAACGAACACTCTAACGAAAATTCAGTGACCATATACAGAGATAACAAGTATCACTAAAGCAAGAAAACCACTAAACTTCCCTTTAAGATTTTGAAGTGGAAAACATGCTGTAAAATAATAATAATAATAATAATAATAATAATAAAAAAATAATAATAATAATAGTAGTAAAAATAACAAGTTTTGACACTGGAAAACGTGTCAAATGTGCTTGGCACATTGGATACTTTGAATAGAGTAGAAGACTATCACTTGGGATTTAGTCATTATAAGAGAGAAGAAAGTCCGTGGAT